TTTACCAGACATCACCAGGGTCTATACCTTTGTCATGAACTCCTCCAGCTGCTCTATAAACAGCGTGGTCTGCTGCTGAATAAACTGCTCACAGGCCGATTTCAGATGACGATCTACGTCTTTCTTAGAATCAAGATAATGTTCTCTGATCTCAGGAGTACCCTTAAAAAGAAGATGACAATTTCCTCCTGTTTTTATGTGCCTAGAAATTACCAGACATGTAAATAATGTCGTTTATCTCCCACCACCAAGGAAACAGACTCCGTCTCACCTCCAACAAGAACTCTATCAAGGCATTGTTGCTATTCAGCCTAAAAAATCTTGGAACAGTCATAGGATTCAGGATTTTAAATGCTGCATCTGTGAAACAAAATTACTCATCCAGTGAACATGTACAGTTTCAACAGAAAAGCCGAGTTACTATTTCAGTGTGTGAACATACGCTAGTTCTCTACAGCACGAAGCCAAGAGCGCTTTGATTTTCACCAGCTCACCTCCATGAGTGGGTGAAGTCAGTGCCAGTGATGGCTACAGAACTCACACATGATTATTTGCTAGTAGTCAGAAATGCAAAATGACTATTAATCTCAACTGTTCATTCAGAAAAAAAGGAAAAAGGATAAATGGTAATCGATACCTTAAAATTTCACTGCTTTACTTTCATGATGACAAATAGGTTTAAAAAAATAATTCATATACTTACCCAACTTCTTTTGTTTAAGATCCAGCTGTCACAGAAATTTACTCACATTTGAAGCAGAGTAAGTAAACTAATGTGTCAGCCAGAAAGAAAACACCAAAAGGACATATTTACCCCTTAACCTCCAGACTAACTAGAATCTATGCAAAAGTACTAACAGGTCTCATTGATGTTCAAATGCAATAAGATATAACATTAGTCGTGAGAGGTTAGAGGCTTAAAAGTAAAGATAGCAAATATTATTAAGGGATAGAAAAGACCATTTCTTCGCTTTGCCTTGCCAGGCTGAAGAAAGCAAAGCATGAAATGCTTCCAACCTTGGTTTTACAAGCACACACCACGTCGTACTTACTGGCTTGACCCTGATCTTGCTGGAAAAAACTCTCTATTAGATTCAGGGTATTCAGAGTAAAGCTTTAGTAAATGGCTCTTTGTTTCTGCTGTCTTTTCTACAAGACACATGAAAAACTGTAGGTGATTGAATGGTAGGGTTACATAAGCTTCATAATGTTTTAGGGAAAACAATACTTCCAACCAAAATTTGCCAAAAGTTTAGAGTATTTCATTTTCTCACTCCTCAGGGGCTCTGTAGTAGAATGAAGCAGCAACAAATCATGAATTAGAAAAAACATGAAAGAAAATAGATCAGCTGTGCTTTATTCCATCACTTAAATAAAGGACGGACGACAGTGCCTGGCAGAGCACCATCCCACTGAACACTGAAAGGAAAGCGGGAAACCAACGAGAATGGCTGGGCGATGGAAGCCTCTGATAAGAATAAGCTCTAAAAACATGACACATTCTATAAAGGCAAAGGCCAGGAAATCTGGCTGCTGTGGAAAAAAAAAAGAGAAAAAAGATTACAAAGCATGTGAAGAGCACACAGGCTTACTATCCAAATTCCACCAGAACCAAAAGGTATTCTCTGCGGTGAAAAGGAGAGAGTGTTAGAAAGAGAAAAAGATAAGCTGTTTTAATATGACTCGTGATGAGACCACTCTGGCTCTCAGGTGAGTTAAATCGAGCCGACTATTTTATAAGCACAGTCATTAGGAAAGTAACAATCCAGCCCCCTTGGAAATCCCACATTTGGAGTTCCTCTAAACCACAGAATACAGAAAATAACCTGAGTGACTATGAATTTTCTTAATTCCCCCAATTCATAAGAGAGAAATTCATTCATTTTAAATGGATGGTTTAAGGCATTAGAGCTTAATTCTCTTGGGAATGGTTAAGAAAAATTAAAGTTAAGATACATTTCTAAGTAATGAAGGGAGACGGACATTTATGGTGTATCCTTAACTGCTTAAGATCAACATCTTAGAAAATGACTACGTTGATCTTTTAGAAATCAGATTCAGAAACTTAATCCAGTCGGAAACAAATCATTAGGATGGATGAAGCATCCTTCTCAAGATGATTCAATGCCTGTTACCCACTCAAAGATCCTGTCTACAGGATTACTTAACCACCAGCTGATTTAACAATACAATTTAAACTTATTTAAGCACGTTAATAATATATATTCTTGTTCATTTTCATTCTTAATGATCTTGATAATCTGGTGAAAGCATCATGACAAGTTGATTCTGCTCATCTGACCAGGGGTAGGAAAGCTAAAACACGTACCTAAGATCCTAAGAGCCAGGAAATGATGGGCCAGGAATAGACCCTGATTCTTTCAGACTCTTAGATTAGTACTCTTCCTGTTTTACGCAGCTGGCTTCCTGAGTTTCTACAAACTGACAAACTCAACCCAATGTTTAAAATCACTCCAGTTAGCTGACACTCTAAGTAGTTATTTTACTGATTTTTTATTTTTTAACTGGTTATGGCAATAGATGGCAGAGTCTAAAAGGTAATACTGTGTTACAAGTTGAAATGCTCAGATACAGTTCCCTTCATAAAGAAAATACAGCAAGTTAGATGTAATTAGGGTGTTGCCCAGCTTAGTATGAACAAGAAACATGCTTAGCAAGCACAGCATGCAAAAAAAAATTGCAGATGAACATAAAATAAACCTATAACCTGTGCTGACACATTTGGACAGGTCAAACACACCCAACTGTGCCAGTCAGGACATTAAAGTACCTCTAGTTTTCTTGAGGTCCAGGGAAATTTCCTTAATGGTGAATTCAGTGTGAAATGGAGCAATTTGTTCACGAAGAATCAAAAGGTGTTTTATTAAGAAAAGTTGTCCATCAATCGGAGTCTAAATTATAAGATAAGAAAAATGGATACTATCACAGATTAAATAAAAATAGGAGCGCATAACACATACACATTATCAATCAACATTTATCTATCTAGGTCAATGGCCCTTAACCTAACTATACAGTACCAATACTCTCTTGCTATGCAAGGAACTCTCCCCATATTTCCATGTTAGAATTACCTGGAAAAATCTTGCTTCAGATCCTTACTAACTCTATCACATGCTCTACTTAGTAAATCCAAGGAAGTAAATCAAACGGTTGTAAAGCAACATATTTAGAAAGAGAAGTCAAATCTATCCTAAGTTGGTGCAGGGACAGAAGAGATGCTGTGGCCCAACACCAGCAGAGAGCAGGAAGTGAAAGCTCCAAGTGCGAGCACAGTTCTGCCCTCCCACGGCTTTCTGGTTTCTCTCAGTAACCTGGCTTTCACTCTTTGGTCAAAGTAGTTTCAATATCCAGAATATCAGAAACATTCGTATTTATACAAAAGTACAAAAGGAGTCAACAAATGTAAAATGATTTGGGGTTACTATTTTGGATTTTCCTGCCAGTAACAGGGCACTGACTACCCAGAGCCCCTGGGAGTCTCTGCATTTCCCTCTGCCCTCTCAGGACGCATCCACAAGAGTCCTGTGACTCAAACTTAGTTCTCAAAGCTCTGACCCAGTTCCGAAACTGTGAATAATCATAGCTCTCATTTCAGAAGACAGACTGTATATTAAGAGAGCAAAGCTGTGTTTGCTGTGCTACTCAAGACAGAATCTTACTTGGAAAATATTTTCAATGAAATTATACTGCATTAGGAAAAAAATAAAGCTGTCCTTGTAAGCAATACAGGCATACCTCAGAGATATTTTGGGTTCAGTTTCAGACCACTGCAATCAAATGATTACTGCAACATAGCAATTCACAGGAATCTTTTGGTTTCCCAGTGCACACAAGTTACATTTACACCATTCTGCAGTCTATTAAGTGTAATATCTTTTTGCAATAGTAACATCAAAGATCTGCTCAGTGATCACCATACCAAATATAGTAATAATGAAAAAGTTTGAAATATTAAGAGAATTACCAAAATGTGACACAGAGACACTAAGTGAGCAAATGCTTTTGGAAAAATGGTGCCAATAGACTTGTTCCATGCAGGGTTGCCACAACCTTCAATTTGTGGGAAAAAAAAAAAAAGCAGTATGTACAGAGCGCAATAAAATGAAGCATATAAAATGAGGTGTGCCTGTATAAACTTTAACGAGGTTATTAAGATGATTCCTTTCTGGTCTCTCTTCCTCCCTCTAAATATACACACAATCAATGTACATAAGTATGACTTATATGATGGAAACTCACTTGGCACTCTGGAATACAGAGCATTAGATAAGGAGAAATGCTACACATTTTGAATGCTTGCTCTGTTTTTAAAAGAACAACTCTGATGGGGTAAAATAGTATAAGACAGATTTAATTTACTTAACTGAAGCTGTTGTAATCCAGCAGATAGTATCATGCTAGTTGACTGATACACTAGGTGCTCAACTTAAGTATGTAAGAACAATTTCTTGCCTTAAGAAAGTCTAAGACATTAAACCATTTTCACTGATCACTGTTTAAAAAGTCTGAAAGTCAAAAAGCACACGAGCTCAGCTATGAAAATAAATTTGCTAATTCTTAACAAATTGAGGGCTTCTTCATACATACTTAAACCTCTTATAATATGTAGGAAACAGAATTAGGTAAAAAAAAAAAAAAGAGTGGCCTTATAGGCAATGAGGACAAAAGACTAATCAAAAGGCTTTTCATTCCTCCCTTTAAAAAGAGGACAGTGGTACAAAAGGACATAAGTATATGAACTTTTTCTCTTAATTAGGTCATTTTTTCCCACTAATAATCTAAGAAATACATGCTCACTGTAGAAAATCTGGAACATAAAGAAAAGTGTAAGGAAAAGAAAGAAAAATCACCCATAGTCATGTAAAAGCTTTCCCCATTACTTTTTTTTAATGCGTATGTTCACTACATAAAGTCACAGTGTGGTGATTTGTATCCTGCTTTTTTCTTTCTTTTTTTGCCTTAACATATTTTAGTTAAATTTTATCATTTCATTTTTAAGAAATTTAATGACTAGGTAATATATTAGGCACATGTTTCCTAAATTCACCTCTCATAAAAAAAATGTGAAAGCTCAGACTTGGAAATACTCTTTAAAGTTCAATCTGCCTGTCTGTATCTTAGCCTTCCATCCTCTTCTAGTCCCCATATCAAAATTTCATTTCAACTCTCGATTCCACAAATGAGAGAATACAGTGGTCACAGACAAAGGTAGAGCCTTTCTAGCAAGAGGATCCCAGCTAAATTCCTTTATGAGGTTTTTGTTTTGTTTTGTTTTTCAGTTTATCTAAAGCCTAGAAATTAGAAACCAACTTTGTAAATATGGAAGTCCAGAAAGGTTCACAAGGTTTGAAAACTCCCAGCAGCTATGAAATTCTGG